CACGGCCCCATGTTGCAAGGATCTGTACACGATTCCTGGAAGCTGAAAACATCCCAGTTCTTGCATGACCAGCATGCTCACCGGACATGTCACCCATTGAGCATGTTTGCGACAGCGTGTTCCAGTTCCTGCCAATATCCAGCAAGTTCGCACAGCCATTGAAGAGGAGTGGACCAACATTTCACAGGCCACAATCAACAACCTGATCAACTCTATGCGAAGGAGATGTGTTGCACTGCGTGAGGCAAATGGTGGTCACACCAGATACTGACTGGTTTTTGGACCCACCTGGACCTTTTATTGTGGCCAGCCTAAGGCACACCTGTGCAATAATCATGCTGTCTAATCAGCATCTTGATATGCCACACCTGTGAGGTGGATGGATTATCTCGGCAAAGGAGAAGTGCTCACGTACACAGATTTAGACAGATTTGAGAACAATATTTGAGAGAAATAGGCCTTTTGTGTACATAGAAAAAGTCTTAGATCTTTGAGTTCAGCTCATGAAAAATGGGGGCAAAAACAAAAGTGATGCGTTTAGTGTGAGTCAGTTTCGAAAAGATGAAGTACGAGATCCTGACTCGCCATTTCCTCATTGGACGTGCATTGGATTATTTCATTACATAATGAAAGAGTTTTTAATTTTTGATTTGAATTATTTATTTTTAAAGTAGTAATTTCTATAGATATATTTATCATGTCAGTGAGGCAAGTATTTGCTGAGTTTCGGTTCAGTTTTTGTGACGCGTTCCTGTCAAGATGGAGACTGCAGAAAGCTACCTGTTTGTTTACTTTATTTTACAAAAACACAAAGTTTTGTTGATATTGTGAGTGCACACAAATAAAAGTAGACACTTTGCAGTTCCGAATGAGGAAAAAGTTTCCACTATTAAGAAAAAAAAAAAAATTCAAGTTATCGCGCTGGCGCCTCCATGTCCTTCAAAGCACGCTTCAGATTCCACTCTTCTTACAAAGGATTGGATATTTATCACACATTTATCTTAATTTTATTTTTGTTTTACATTTATATTGTGAAATGCATGAAGCTTTTTATGTCTCAAATCGTGTTTATTTGAGAAGGCTAAATTGATCAAACATATGCTCAACTCACTGTCTTGCGCAGGCCGCTTGGTATTTTAAAAAACAAAAACTTGAATTTAACAAACATAAAATGTTCCAACCATATTTCTCAATTAACTTAATAAAGAAATGAAACAAAATATAACCACTTTGCCATTAAAAAACAAAACTGAACTATTTTAATGGCTGCAACAGCAGCTGTGTAATGGGGGAGAAAGAGAGAGAGAAAGAGCTCGCAGCAAAACAGGCAGTCTGAACACTTTCTGTGCCTGAAGTCCCACAGGGCCATTAACTGGTGTGTGATATTATTACAACAGCTTCCAAGACAGAGGAAGAGTATTCCACAGTGATAATTTGAAGGAAGACTGGGAGAGGAAGAAAGAGAGAGAGAGAGAGAGAGAGAGAGAGAGAGAGAGAGAAAAGACACTGGCTCGGGACTCGGGCGTAGAATTCTGATAAGCTGTCGGACAAGGGCCGGGCCCATGAAGGGCTCTATATTCGTTCCCTTGTTTCAATTAAATGTTCCCCCTCAGCTCGGTGGGCCCCAAATCTGCCCGGGCCCATATGCAACTGCATACCCTGCATACCCAGACGCTACGCCCATGTGGAGCGGCACATGGAACAGAACACGGGACACAGATGTGTTTTCATATCGGCGATGCCACAAATGTCGTATCAACGTTTAAGGGCAGTGTTCTGTTCTCATTGCAATGCAGTTACTCGGTTCAAGACGCCTTGTCAAATTAAAATAAGTTTAAGCTTTTCTGGAGACCCATGCGTTCTGGTCCATTCTGCAGCGCTACATCTGGTTTTGGGTGCAACAACGCATTCTGTGTGAACAGCCCCTAAACTGATTCTGAATGACTCGCTAAATGTAGGCTAATTGAAATGCAATTGTAATTGATGCGTTCCAGTTTGTTGTTGGTGTCTAACGGGAACGTTATGTTCTGTGTTTTGGCTATTTAACGCGGAGTGTTACTGGTTTGAATAGCAGGAAAGCTGTTAAGCAGCAATACAGTATCACCAAATGTAATTGAGTGAATTAAGGCAAACAAAGTGTGTCGATTTACATCGTTTCATCCCTGAGCAAACCCTCATTCATGAGCACCAACTCCCCTCATAGTGAATGAGCCGATCCTCACTTACCAGTATAGGTGGTGCAGTGAACCTCCTCAGATCACCCAATAACTATCTGCTTTAAGGGATGCTTCAGTCTGAACCCGTTTGATAGAAAAAAGAAAAAAAAGACAAAAAGAAGAAAAGTGAAAATCCCTGATGGATGTCACAGTGCTGTGACTGTGGCAGTGAGCAGCTCACTACTGCTGTGATCAGAGCTCAGATCTGATCTCCACCGCCTCTCACTGGACAAGAGCCATGTGTCCACCAGCGCTGGAGCCTACAGTTCCTCTACAGCTCACACCTCCTCAAAACACCACGCACTCAGCACTAAACTCCTTCCCATTTATAATAACAGTGTGTTTGTAAACAAACAAAATTAATTAATACATTTATTTATTGCTATTTTTGTTCATCAGTTGGTTACTTATATAAGCATTATTAGGAGTAGTAGTGGTATTGGTTATTTCTTTATTGTTATATGCTGTCAATGTTGCATTGAAGCTTCATTTTTTGGTCTCATGATATCAGTTAATGTCATTTATTGGTTACATATGTATCATTATTTAATTTTATTATGGTTTGTTGTAATCTTCATTATTTTTGTCTTGGCATATAAGTGACTCATTATTCTGAGCTCCACCTCTACAGAATGATTCTAACCCACTGCTTAACTTGACATCTAAATGAAGGTTTAGATTCGTGTGACTTGTAGA